GAGTGGTAGCAGAACGACTTACACCTATGCTAGCGACAACCACGGGAGAAAGGTTTCGAGTGCAAGCGTACGAATCCGACATGGGGATTGAATTGAACAACTACAACTGCGGGTTGTTTATTTTGCTTGCATTTGAACCGTTCACAGGTGCGCCACCACTCGGGTGGATGAACAAGAAGCTGCTGATGTATCTGCGCTATAGATATCTTTGCTTGTGTCTTCACTGAATATAATACATTAACCTTCTTACAAACTTATAGAAGTTCGCATGCTCCGCTTGCTTGACTTAGCTAAGATACCTTTATCCGGATATACGCTGTCGCGAAAAAAGGGTGGGCAAACTGGCTTTTGACTAGTCGGGTACCCGTCGGTGCAGTCGGGCGTTGGTCGGGTACTTTTGTCCCGTCTCACGGCTTCCAGGCGGTTGCAGCAACACGTGCCTTCAAAATGAAGGCGTTTTAGATGCCGGCATTAAATGCCTGCATCATAAACAAATTTTGTTTACATGCTTGCCCGTTACAGTATTAATACATGTACCTTTTATAAAGATGATGACGATAAATTCGAAAGAGAGTGCTCACAAGCGTACCATACTACAATATCTGGAATCTAAGCATACTGTGAATGAAGCAATACTGTACTACTCTGTTCCATCTCAAATCTAACGCAACGAGCGACCGCACAAAAATAAATTATATCATTGGCTATTATTAGGCTAAGAATAGAGATTTGCAATTTTTTAATTTGTGGCTACCAGCTACATAATACAGTGCCCGCCAAATCATTAAGACCCCCGATTTGGCGGGACAATTCTGACAATATCTCGGCTTCTAGCCTGAGTTGAGAGCTGCTACTTTGATATGTTCTCTCTATTAGGCTTACAGAGGTGCCACTTGTGTTAACAACTTAGATTTCTATGTATCTGACAGGGCTGGTATACAAATTCAAGGTTTGGACATCAGCGTCATATTATTAAGACCACATCCTTTTTATGACGAAAAACACTTTTATGAACAGACCTTACAAATTTCTATATTAAAAGAGTGATGGTCAAAATAAGTAGATGGTTGGCGGAAATAAGCGGGTAGCTAGACGCTACGGAGGCTGTGAGCCTTTCATTTTCTAATGGGCCACGGCAAGACCCTCTCCCAACAAGAGTACTGGTTTATCGTCGGTCTCCACGACGGAGGCGTCTCTCTGCACGAGATCGCTAGGAAGACAGGTTGGTCCCGTACGTCCGTCCGGAACGCAGTCAAGGCGGAGCGGGGACGGAAGGAAGACAGGGGTGGAGAGCGAAGGGCTGGGCGGCAACCGGCACTGACGGAACGGGAGCTGCGGCAGCTTGTGCGTGCCGCGGCGACAGGTGAGTTCTTTGCTGCGGAGCTCAAGACGAAGTTCGGCATCAAGGCGTCCGTGAGGACGATCCAGCGGGTTCTGCAGCGTGTGGACCATCTGGTTTACACCAAGATGGACCGCACGCTTCCCCTCACGGCAGAGCACAAGGCTGCCCGCATGCAATGGGCGGAAGATTACATACTGAAGCCAGGTAAGCCTCTCATATTAAAGTTTTGCTGCAATTTTGTATTATAACAACATTTATTTTTTTTAGAAACTTGGATTTACACTATTTTTTCAGATGAAAAGAACTTTAATCTAGATGGTCCTGATGGATTCAAGTATTACTGGCGGGACATGCGCCAGCCTGCACAGTCTTATCTGCGTCGCCAAAATGGAGGAGGGAGCGTCATGGTGTGGGGCGCTTTTAGTGCAGCAGGTAAGAGTGAGCTGGCCATCTTGCGTAAACGTCAGAATTCAGGTGACTATATTTACACGTTATCTGAATATCTACTCCCTTTTGCTCACGCTAACTATGGTGTTGACTTTGTATTTCAGCAAGACAATGCTTCGATTCATGCCTCGCATGAAACGAAGCAATTCTTGCAGGAGATGCAACTCAACACCATGGCTTGGCCAGCTCGCTCGCCTGACTGCAACCCCATCGAGAACGTCTGGTCGGCGATGGCGGCCAAGGTGTATGCACATGGCCGCCAGTACCAAAACGTTGCTGATCTGGAGGCAGCAATCATGGCTGCATGGGACTCCATTCAGCTAGACTACTTGCTGAAGCTGATAGAGTTTATGCCTCGCCGCTGTCTAGCGGTGATCAAGAAGAAAGGTGGTCTGACTAAGTACTAATTTTTAATATAGAAATTTGTAAGGTCTGTTCATAAAAGTGTTTTTTCGTCATAAAAAGGATGTGGTCTTAATAATTTGACGCTGATGTCCAAACCTTGAATTTGTATACCAGCCCTGTCAGATACATAGAAATCTAAGTTGTTAACACAAGTGGCACCTCTGTAAGCCTAATAGAGAGAACATATCAAAGTAGCAGCTCTCAACTCAGGCTAGAAGCCGAGATATTGTCAGAATTGTCCCGCCAAATCGGGGGTCTTAATGATTTGGCGGGCACTGTACGTATCAGCTGTGCAGATAAGGCAGAGACTACCTGCACAGTCTCAAATTTAGACTGTGCAGCCGATGCACAGTCTCGGCTATATTATGTTCTCTTCGCGCAGATTGCTGATCCATGTGGTCGGAAAGGCTGGCACGTTAGGGACTAAAACAAGTGCATTTTCGGGTACAAGAACGTATGAAAAAACCAGAGTGATTGTCGGTGAGTGTGGCGGCAACTCGACTTTTTTAACTTATCTAAGCACCACTCAAGCGGCTTTACCGCGGTGTTCGCCTCGCCGCAATGTCACTCCCTGCTTCGTAAAGCCTTTCATATGTATGCACACCGGTCAATATCATTCTTTTTGGACAAAGAATCATTGACAAAAAATAACTACAAAAAAAGCTTACATTGACGATAATATAAGACTTAAGTATCTGTACCGGATGAATTCCATCGCTTGTCTGATCCCGCTTTCACTGTCCAGTCCAGTGACATCCACTCCATAACGCTGGAGCTCAACGAAAAGAAGGACAAATACGTAGGTTTTATTGTAGAACTTAAAATCCTCAGGGACTAGCTTGAAAGCAGACATATTTCTCTGCATTCTAGCGTTTCTTGTCCGCACTGGAGTGTTTGTTCGAATGGTGTAAATCTGATCACAGTAAGAATTTAGTACGATTTCAGAAACTGTTTCACAGGCTCAGACTGTTTCACAGTCTGAGCAGCACAAACCTGGAATGTTTTCCTGCTGTATGCCTTCAGATACGACTCCAACGCGCCCCAGCTGTCGAACGCCGTCACATCCAGATCCGGTACGTCCACTAATTCGTCTTGAGGAGCGATGTCACCTCCGTCGCATCCTTCTGTTTCCGAATCGGACGAATTTTGACTGCTCGCATCAGAGTCTGATGCAAATTAAGAATGAGATCCCTTCTCGTGTTCGCATTCTACTGACGAATCCTGAACGTTCAATGATTCTTCATTTCTGCGTCTAGAAGAGTTGTGGCGACGCGAGGATAAATGAGGCAATTGCTTTCTTCGCTTGGTTACCGCTCGATCTCGGGCGGTAAGATGCCTTCTTAACCTCTTCTTCTTCTTCCGTGAGTTTGAATGAACCGCAATGTCGCGGGACTCGCCGTCGCTGTTAGATTTTGACGCAACGCTTGCTAGGTCTTCGTCACCCCCTTCGCTGAAACGGGGCTGGTGGCGTGGCATGGCGGGCGTCGATACAGCAGACGCCGGACCCGTGCTGCTTTTTGGAACGCTGGGATTCTTTTGACTGGGGAGGGGGAGACTTTTGACAGCCATTAAACTTTAGGAATGATGGTCTGCATCCGGGTGAACATCCGAAGATCAAAATGCACATCCGAAGAAAACCAAAAGATTTGTCCCCACCGAAATGGCCCTTTTAAATACTGTGCAGGGAGACACTCTCGTGCAGATAAGCATGATGTACTGCCATCTGATCGCTCTAACGGCAGGCACAACAAATGTTGATGTTGTCAACATCGCTATCAAATACCAGCCAGCTAAGTCGCCCGATATGAACGTACTCGAATTGGGTCTGTTTAACTTGCTACAGTCGGCTCAATACCGCACACCAACGTACAAGATCGATGCTTTAATTGCGGAAGCTGAAAAAACTTACTGTGATCTTTCTAGTAGGACTATAGATAAGTGCTTTTTGACAGCACAAAAAATACCAGAATCTGTCATTGCGTGTGATACATACAAGCTCCCCCGAGTTTCGAAGCACCACATTCGCAACGGAGTGCTTCCAACCTCATTGCCTTGCGACTCTTTGGCAAAAAGGGCCAGGAGACACTTAATAAAATGAAGGGCCACCAACTCAAAATTAGTATCTTTTATTTTATGATGAACTCTTTTCTACACACCTTGTTTTATTTATTTTCACCTTTTGCGAGATCTAAAATTTGTCAGATTGTAAATACATAGATGTAATTGGTCAAAAGCGTTTTTCAGGCAAACGCGGCACAGACAGCAGCTTTTGAAGAACTATGTTCACATCTTGTAAGACCGTGGCAAAATCGATCTCTTCTGAAAACCTCAGCAATTTTCCAACACTGGGAAGCCCACTGCGAAACCAGACGTCCACTTTGTCAAAACGAATGACGCTCTTTTGCTCTGTACTTCGTTGCTGTCTGACTATGATCTACCAAAAAATACTGCTTTATAGAGCTAAGGCAGGGCTTTCCGTAGTGGCTAAATCACACCATTAGTTTAATAAATATGTCAGCAAAGGAGAAGTGTTAGATTTAAGATGGAACAGAGTGGTAGCTCACTTCTTTCCGCCCTCATCTAGCTCAGACAGAAAGCGCAAGCAAAAACAGATATCGAAGTGGAAAAAGCAGGCAGCGTAGATACAAGCCGTTTGCGAAGGTGGACATGGCGCGTCGAGCCTCCGACCAGGACGATCTCGCTCACCTGGTTCTTGGACAGTTTAGAGTCTCGTAAAACCTGCGCAACAGGATCCATGGTCTTGCGGAAATAATCGCTGCACAAGTCTTCGAACCGCGCGCGCGTGATGGTCGAGTTGAAGTCCACGCCGTCAAACAGCGAGTCGATCTCGATGTACGCCTGCGCCGAAGTGGACAGCGTCCGCTTGGCGCGTTCGCACGCCGTACGAAGACGACGCAGAGCTCGCTGGCTCGACGTCATATCCTTGCGGTGCTTACGTTTGAGCTCGGTCACGAAGAACTCGACCAGACGGTTGTCGAAGTCCTCACCGCCCAAGTTCGTGTCACCCGCCGTCGCCTTGACCTCGAAGATCCCGTCTTCAATAGTTAGCAGTGAGACGTCGAACGTGCCGCCTCCGAGATCGAAGATCAGCACGTTGTGCTCGCCTACTTTCTTGTCGAGCCCATAGGCGATCGCAGCAGCCGTCGGCTCATCAATGATACGCAGCACGTTCAAACCAGCAATATCTCCAGCATCTTTAGTCGCCTGACGCTGCGAGTCGTTGAAGTAGGCCGGGACCGTCACCTGGTTAGCTGCTGGATGTGGTAGTTGGTTTGATCACGAGAATGCACACGCCGTTCGCTTAGGACAGGGGGAAACCGGTATTTTGCCAGACTTGGAGCATCCCACTCACAGCAAATATTGTGTTATCTTCGGATTTGCTAGGATTTGCTGATATCTTCCATATTCGAACTCGGCACAGCGTATACTCTGCGTATATCCCTCGCACACAAATAATCCCTCCAGCAAATTCGTGGCGCCAACGGACCCAAATGCCGCCGCACCCACGCAGCGCTCCAAAGCGCCCCCTATTGGCAGACGCTAGCGACGGTTCCAGTGACGGCGCCACATCCAGCGGCTCTTTGCGTGAGTGGGAGCCGTCACTAAGCCCACATCGTGTGGAAACGACGGGGACGAGCAGTGCTAGCGAGGAAGCCGGACCAGTCTGTGTCATCGCTCCACCTCCGGGGAAGACGCAGTTCAGGTTGTGGGAAGAATTCGAGGCATACTTTGCGCAGTACCAAGCTCGGTCGTTCCAGGTACAGTTAATATTTTTTTTAAATTATATTCAGTGTTATCTAAGCTAATTGGTTGGCATGTTATCGATACAATATTAGATCTACCGTACCAGAACGAATACCTCAGTCCCAGTACGGCATTATCGGATAGATGCCCAGGGAGATAAGGCGTGTAAGATTCCCGACGAGTGGGATTAGTACGCAAAAACATACGTGTGTACGCATTACGGCAAATTCCGATCGCAAGCCACAAGTAAGAGGTCTCGTCAAGAGAGTCGAGCTTCTGGATGCTCTGTCTAGGTATGTTGCTGCTGCAAATATGGATGTCGGGTGTGCTGCGAAAGATACATGATCAATTGGACGAAGCCAGATTCATTCGGGCATGGTATGGTTCATTTGGGCATGGTCTGGTTCAATCTGGCATGGTCTGGTATGATTGGGTATTGACTGGTTTGATCGGACAAATCTACTAATATCTGCTGGCAATACTTCGTTGTTTTCAGATCAATGTGTACGTTCAAGAGATCAACAAAGCTACCCATACATTTGCTCTAATGATTACGCAGTGCAACCTTGAGCACAACCACACATTGAACGAGTACGCTTTCAAAAACCACTCGTCCAACCGTGTGTCCCTCGATGAGATGAGAGTGCTTTAGAGGCAGTGGACGAGCTCCGCAAAGCTGGCGCGAAAAAGACAAGCATTCTCAAGTTTATCAAGGACAATTTCGATAGCAATCCGAAGCCGCAGGATGTTCACAATTTGGTTTGCAAATTAAAGGCTCGCGAACAAGGATTAACCCCAACCTCTAGTTCAAAGTGGTTAACGAAGTGGATGACCGAATTTGGTGATGCTCCTGGCAGCGTGGGCGCATCTTCGTGGACGATGTGGGGGAAAAGGTATGATATACGACGTTTATGTTTCAAATTTTATTATGTTATTGCCTATCTAACCGTTTTATTATGTTAGAAATTGGCAACCTGTACTACGCCTCAAACCAAACACATGCGATCGACCTTCTCTCATGTTCCGGAGGTTCTTCTAATTGACGCGACGCATGGAACCAATCGATCCAAGTACAAGGGCTTCTCTTTCATGGCACACGACACTTTTGAAAAAAGGCCAGTTTGTGCAGCATGCCTTACTCCACAACGAGCAGTGGGGAACATTGTTGACTGCACTGGAAGAATTAAGACGAATAACCCGGCTTGGACGCGTCTTCAGTGCGTGCTCATCGACAAGGATTTCACGGAGCTTTCTGTTTTGAAGACATCATTCCCAGGCGTCACTATTCTACTCTGCCAGTTTCACGTATTAAAGTACTTGAGGAAAGGCAATTTTATCATCGGATTACGGCTCCAACACGTGGCAGAGGGATCAGCTGCGAGGGCTCATGAACCTCCTGGTACACGCGAAGACGGAGAAGGAGTACATGGGGCATTTCCGGTACATGCTGCATGTGTGCGAGGTTGGTCGTTCAAGGCCGGAGTCTTCAGATTCAATCGGGCAGGATAGGGCTACAAACAGATCGAATCCCTCTCCGGTCGGGGTGAATCTGGCTACAGTCGGGCAGAATCTGGCTCCAGACTCCGTTGAACCCGCGGATGTGGCTGCTGCGACAAATGAACCCACCACCCACCCATTTGCTGCCTATTTCATCAAAACCTGGGGTAATTGTCGTAAGTTATGATGTGCATACAAGCGGCAAAACACCGTCACTCTCGGCAATAACACCAATAATAGATTAGAGGCACCCTGGAAGCAGTTGAAAGAGTGGGTAAATTCGTTCATGGCTGTGGGCGAATGCATTGTGTCTATCATGTACTATCAAACGCTTCAAGAACGACGGTTCATGGATGAAGTCTACAAGAAGGTTAGCATTCATCATGTTGGATACGATCAAGAAATGACTCTCGTGGCTAACCTTGTCAGCGAACACGCGTGCGAGCTGATACAAGACTAAAACGTATACGCAACTTGGCCGTGCATCATACAATTTTTCGGAACGGAGCAGGGCGTCTATATTATGAAGAGCACAAGCACTGAGGAAGATGCCCTTGACGAGAGTGAGACCGAGTATACTGTTTCTGAGGCCAACTGGACTTGTTCGTGTCTCTTTATGAGCACGCGTTTGCTGCCGTGTCGTCATGTTTTCTTTCTGAGAAGACCAATCGGCAAAAAAACTGTTATCCCGACACAACTTCTCAATCGTCGGTGGATATTGTCTTCTGTTAGGTCCTCGATAGAGTTCGAAAGCTCAAGTGACAGCTGTGCGTCCATGGAATCTTTCGCTATTCGTCGGGTTGTGGCGACGGGTGATCGACCTTGGGACTCAAACCGCAAGTATCGTGAGGCGCTGCCTATCGCTAGTGAAATTCGTGGTTCGATGTCTGGATTGGGAATGGCACAATACCGAGAAGCGATGGAGTATCTGAAGAACGTTGCTCGTTGGCTCAAGCATTGTGACTTCGGCACCTTATCCAGTCAAAAACAAAACGATCAGCTATTAGACTCTCCTCCTTCTACCCAGCCAGCTGAAGCGAGTTCAGCTATTGAGAGCAGCCAAGTCGAGGAGTCTGTAGTCTGGCGAGTCTGGAACTCAGTCTGGCGAGTCTGGCACCCAATCTGGCAAACATCTCGAATTGAAAACCCGAGATTTGACAACGACTCTTCGAGAAGTAGGGAATGAAGAATTTCACGTAGCGAGCCCTCCTAGACCCCGCGGGCGCCCAAAGCAAACAGCAAAGTCGAAGAGAGCTGCTCGTAGAAAGAATGCCACGGTCGTCCAGGAGGACTCAGATTTGTACGCAGCGAACCTGAGCCTGGCTACAGTGCGAGATACTGTTGAAGGCGTGCCTACATACGATACATCTGCCGCTACCCTATCGCGATTCAAGCTGTATGAGTTCATTAAAACTCTCAGGGCTCCAGTAGCCCAGGAGAGAGCGAGCTTACCACCGGCGAAGAAAATATATCCTGCGGAATCCATAACCCGTGTATTTCGCAAAGACTTCATTGAGAAGTGCAGTGCCAAAGTCTCAGCCCTGCAGAAAAAACATAAAAGATTCATCGGGTGTTAATCTATGTGAGCAAGAAATTGCGGTGGAAGTAATCGGTGTTGGAACATACACTACCGAGACGTTGGGTGTAATGAAAAAGTGGCACAGGGCGATGAAAAGCATACAACACGTGGACAAAGCTATAAACTGGATCGAGACTATTGATTTCACGCTACAGATTCCCGAGCATTTCCAAGTTAATCCAGACCCAGATATACTTGCTAAGCTGAAGGCCATCCCACTTCTGTCCGTGCAGGTACAGTTAACGTACATTTATTGATACAATGGATTTACTAACGTTGATAGCATCTTTTCAAATATAGGCGGAAGCGCTGGAGCTCGTTGGCAAGTCGCCCTTGGGTGATTGTGCCGTTAACACTTTAGTGCTGAAGCTGTTTGCAGAAAGAGTAGACACGATTGGAGTCGACACGTCCATCGCGGGGAACGTTATGAATGGCTATTTATCGATCTATACGATGAAGGGCGTGTTTGTAGGTGTTACGGGTGAGAAGATTTTGATTTCGATCATCTACGGCAAGAATCACTGGTGCTCCGTCATGATTGACCTGACATGTAAAGACGTATTAGTCTACGACCCGATAAATTCCAGCTACGGAGTGAAGGTTCGCCCCCTTGCTGAAAAAATGGTGACGATGCTACCAGACTTCGCCCCAAGAAAGTACTGAGTCCGAATGTACGAAAGTGATCTTGGAGTGCAAGTCGATAGCTACGATTGTGGCATGTACATGCTGTTGGCATTCGAGATATTTGCCAGTGCTACTGCTACGCGTGCGCTAAGTAGGAAGGAGTTGCAATATCTACGCTATCGGTATCTCTGCACGTGCATTTAGCTGAACAAGTTTTCAATGATTCGGTCTTTTGTTTGTGTGTGTCGATGGCATGACTACCTCCGGGTTATTCACCCTGCACTTTGTCTTGAGAGTTAGATATCCTCAGCGCAGTCTGCTGAATGTCTTGCAGATTTCAGTTTCGAAACCGACAGACATCGAGTTCCGGTTATACGTATACTCCCGAAGACACATCAACTGATGACGTGTCCGGCTCTTCCCGAGTCTGGCATATTCGGGCATGCTAATCGGGTGTATTCCGGTGTAATTGTACTGTCTCTTGTTACCCAGTCTGGCTGAATAACGAGTGCCAATTCGAAAACATGCATGGTCGCCGTGCTGGGAAGCCGATACAGTATTACCGGAAACGACGATTACTGGTAGTTTGTCCTCTCTGCCAGTACCGGTATTGTAAATTCATTGCCGCTTTGCAGTGAGTCTACAGATCGTACTTAAGTGGGCATTAACTGAAGCTATAATAAGTCGAAAACAGATTTAGTCTGCAGACAGCGACGGTAAAATCCGCCCGATATCTGAGCACTATCTTTCATATAAAATAAAAATATTACGCCCGACAGGAATACCCGCCTGTAAATTTGATTGGATGAAAGTGGTACAATCCGATAGAGGATGAAGAGCAGCGCCTCGCACGGATCCTGGCGGAAGCTGACGAGGACCAAGTAGCTGACGCCCCAACTGCGGTTGGCAGAGGCGGCGAAGCGGACCCCCGAATGCATGGTGAAACCATAGCGGCGAGCGAAGTCTAGACGGACGAGCTGCCGAAGATCTAGGGGAACGATCGGCCCAAGAGAAAGACGAGAGCTTGTTTGGCACGTCACCGCGAGCAGAGGAGAATCGGAGAATGTTTGTGACGATGTTGGGGACGCCTCAGGGCAGAGCTAGCTTCCAAGCGCTCCTTGGGACTCTGGCTGATCGACCGACTCCCACAGAGGAAGCATCCACGGTCCAGGGGGGCGCAAGAGATCGAGACGACTAGTTCTAGAACGAGACGAGGAGTGGCGTTCTCG